CGGGGGGCCCTGGGTTACACGGGAATGAGAGCCCGGCGGTGGCATGGGGTGGCCACGGGTGACGCAGGAGTGGCAGCACCTGGCAGTGGGTGGCCCGGGTGACATGGGTGGGACAGGGCTGCTCGTGCTGGGTGACACAGGGGTGACCCAAGGGACACAGGGTGGCAGCACCCAAGTGACACAGAGGTGACGCAGGGGTGACCCAGGGGACACAGGGCTGGCAGGGCCCAGAAGACACCTCCCTGCTGCCCCGGGTCCAGGTGGCCGTCCCCTCACCCACGGAGCACCTGCTTGTCCCTCCATCCGTCCATCCTTCCATCCCTCCATCCATCCCATCCATCCCATCCATCCCATCCATCCCTTCATCCACTGCTCCATCCATCCAACCTCCATCTGCTCCTCCATCCCTCCATCCATCCCTCCCATCCCTTCATCCACTGCTCCATCCATCCAACCTCCATCTGCTCCTCCATCCCTCCATCCATCCCATCCATCCCTTCATCCACTGGTCCAACCATCCAGCCTTCATCTTTCATCCTTCCCTCCATCCTTCTATCCCTCCATCCATCCTATGGACGCATGGATCATATCTCCATGGACTTGCTGAGCAGCTCCATGTGGACCCAGAGCCCCACACCGACCAGGTGTTGACCTGCTTGCGTTGACCCCAACGACACCATCTGGAGCGCTCCATGGACACATTGAGTAGACCCCAACGGTTGCTTTGACTGTAGCTTCATGGACAAGCGGCACAGATCCCAGTGGATGCGTTGACCAAATTTCCATGGATATGATGACTGGAGCAACACAGACACATTGCCTGGACCTCCCCGCTATGGACGCATGGATCGTATCTCCAAGGCCTTGCTGAGCAGCTCTATATGGATGTACGGATCGTAGCTCCATGGACCTGTTGAGCGGCCCTCCGTGGATGCCTTGACCTCATCTCCACGAGCAGGTTGTGCAGATCCCAATGGACACCTCGGTTAGACAAGCACAGACATGTTGCATAGTCCTCCATGGACTCATGACCTCCATCAACACATTGAATGGACCCCATCAGACCCGCTGACCAAGGATCCTCCCACACCAAA